AGCAGGAAAGCCTCAGCTTTGGTTTTGCACCAAGAAGTGAGCTGCAGGATTTTCTGATTTATTTTTTTTTTCCCCCTATGTTACAAATTGCTGGTAAAAATGTAATATATAAAATAATTTTCAGAATGACGATTCTCATTTTTTCCCTTGAAAATCAAAAAGACATTGTTTTAAGTGTGCATGTGTCCTTTACCTAACACTGCTTTGACCTGTCCTTAGGTGACTTTTCACAGTGTTCAAATGAAAGCCTGGTTTCTTCTTTCTACAGACACAGTCCTCTTGGCTTGCCCTAAGTGATCTTTTTTTTTTCCCCCCTCTAACAACTATTACATTCCTTTTCTAACATGTCTTGCAGTATTTGATAAATCCATCATCACTAGGTTCCTTTTTGTTTCTCTTTGTCCTTCATTCAAAGGATGAATAAGACTTTCTTAGGTACATAGGGCACTTTGAAATTTAACAACAACCCCATTCAAAGCCAGGAATCTTTGGGTAGCCTCCAGGCGGTTCTTTCCTCCTTTTTGTCTTATTCTTTTTCCTTCTATGTCCCTATTCTTGCCAAAAAAGTCTTTAGAATAGGGTTTTGAGCCCACTCTGCTAAAAAGATCAAATTACATCATTTAATATTGGTTAGATTTTTTCTGCTAGTCATGGTCCTAGCTACTGCAGTGCTAGAATAGCGCATGGCTATGAAAAATTCAAAAGATTTTATATAATGGATTTTATAAAATTAATTTTATAAATATTAGTCATCCTAGTTTCACATCAGGAAACCTGCTTGACTTTGAAGGAAGGTAAATGTTGTAGTCTAAAAATGTTAACAGTATTCCTTAAGACTGGATTCCAGTTCACATGCATAACGAAGCAACCCAACATACTCATTTGCAACTATAATGTAGGCTAGCAGAAATGTTTACAGTATAGACATTTTCTGTTGTCCTGGCCTGAGCTTCACTGAATTCATAGTCATGAAGAATTTTTTGCAATGGCTTTTGGCTAATAACTATTTTTTTTTTATTTTCTTAACAGTAAAATTCACATAAAATCTTAGCTACAGATATTTTAAAGATTGTATCAGCATCTTGAAACAAATGTACTCACGTCTGTGAACATGTTATCACTTTATACCTATATATTTTTTATGTATTCTTACTTTTATGGGGTTTTATATATATATATAAAAACATTTCCACAACTGCATTTTATAGGAGGAAAATGAGAAGAAGAGTCACCACAAGGACCACTCAGATAATGAATCCACGTCTTCTGATAAGTAAGTGTGGAATAACTGCGATAATTCTGTAGTTGGTTTTATATCTTTTTTTTACATCATTCCTGTTTTCACATTAACATATTACATTTTTCGTCTTTGCAGCTCTGGGAGGAGGAGAAGAGGACCTTTTAAAACAATCAAGTTTGGGACCAACATTGACCTGTCAGATGACAAAAAGTAAGTTGATTACCGTATCTCCTGCTCGCAGTAGTATTCTACAGTATGATACTACTTCTGGAAAACTAACGCATTTTTCTCAGACATCAGTCAGTCTGTTGATTAACCCGATTCCAGTTGCACACCCCATTTCCACAACTAAATTATTACCTTTGGTCTTTCAATGGTTGTTAAGAGTTCTTCTTACCCTAAAATCTCTTTTCAAGCTTTTGTTTCCAGGCTCTTTATTTTTCCAGAAATGAATGTGAACGTCCATCAGGAAACTTCTTTCTAGTCCTCCTTCTAATACGTTCCCTTTGTTTCAGTCTGAGGCTTTAAATTGTTTGCTTACAACTCTAATTAATTCTGACAATACCAAGTTTTCACAGAAATTATAAGATGAAAGGTTTTTTCTTTTTTGTTACTTGGGTTTTGTTTCCTTTTGTTCCTACTGTCATCCTTTCTGTTTCCACTTTTTCATAGCTCTTGCTTCTCTATCCAGGGAGAGGGTTCAAAATATGTAGCAGAGACCAGACCAATACCTGTGGATAAGCCACAGCCTCAAAAAAAAAAAAAAAAGGAATAAATTGTGTATTCTTTAGACTGAATATCTTTCTGTGAGTAGATGAAGGTAGCTTAGAAAAGCATCAGAAGGTATTAGAAATACTCTGAGCATTTTTTTCCCAGTAATAATTTTTTATTTGGTTCAGTCTCTAGTTAGGATATATTTCCATAAAAGATCACACATGTCTCGGCTGTCAGTCCCGCCAGCTGCAGTGCAAAAATTCTGACCTACTTCAATCATTAGAGCAGAAGAAAAAGTTATGGTGTTTGAAACCGGGGAATAAGGCCTGCTTAAGACGCTGAAGTCTTTTGTGGTATAGTCACTGAAGGATCAATGTGTTTACATAATGTATGTGATTAGAGATTATTACAAAATTTTAAATATTGATGCTGGTTTTTTCTAAAGAAATTCTATGTGTACATACAAGATTGTTGCTAATAAACTAGCACTCAGAGCAAACCATTGGGAGAGAGACTTTAAATAAACCTAACATAACTAACTATAAGGAATTGGATTTTGGTACTTCAAATAGTCCTTGTAGGATCCCAGGTAGATGCCTGATCTTCTGATTTTCAGTCTCAGCTTTTGCTACAAAGCTATCTTTCCCCTCACCTAGCCTGTCAGATTTGTGATTATATTTGGAAATGTTTTAAAATTAAGAAGTAACACAAATACCTGGGTGACATTACAGAGCTCCACACCTAAGTATTCAGTTCTGTAGCACATCCATGTAGTTAACTTCATTCTTGGTCAAAGCAATTGTGTTGCGCAGGCTAGAGTCTGTTCAGACAGTCTTCTTGACATATATTGTAGCGTCATATCATTCGGCTCCTGAAAGCGTGGTTAGCGGTTTCTGACTGTCTTGGAATATGAAGAGAGCACAGCTCTGTTTTCACTGGGAAAGACGTACACCAAGGTGTAAATTGCAAGCAGAATTTTCTGTCAGTATAGCAGCAGACTGGCTAACTGCAAGAGTGAGTCCAGTCACCCTGGCTTTTAGCTCACCCTTAAATGAAATTGTCATTTAAATTTCTGTAACTGTCAAGTAAGGGTATTGGATTGTCTCAACTCCACTCTTAAAGATGCTAAGTTATATATAAGTAGGTTGTCTGCTCTTTTATCTCCTGTGCTAACTATTTTTTGGAAAACATTTATATTTCTCAAACTCTTCTAAGAGTTTTAGGGATTCACAGTTTGTTGATTTGCTATTTTGCTGCAGGTGGAAGTTGCAACTCCATGAACTGACAAAACTTCCTGCTTTTGTACGTGTGGTATCAGCAGGAAATCTTCTAAGCCATGTTGGTCATACCATCCTGGGCATGAATACAGTGCAGTTGTACATGAAGGTTCCAGGAAGCAGAACACCAGGTGAGTATAATCTCTTTGCATGAAAAAAATGGGGTTCTACTGCTGTGGTGTTGATTTTACTGCACTGCAGTTTTTCCTTATCCTACAACATGCCTAAACATGATAAAATTGTACATAATCAGTAGTCTTTTAATTTCTTGTTTAACTGAACTCTTTGTGTACAAAGTACTATATTACCTTACAATGGAAATTTCTGGATTTCTGCAGTGCTAGGTAATTACCGTGCCAGCCTCTTGCATGCAATATTGGATTCTTTAAGGGGAAAAAGAGTGGTTTACATGCCTTGAAAGTCTTTATAGGCTGCCAAAGTAGGTCTTGTGCAATCATAGGAATCGGTACATTTTTACTTCTTAGATTCTTTATTGTCTGAGGATAGGACTCAACCCTCCATAATGAATAGTGCTGTGTTAGGGCACTGGACTGAGACTTCAGGGATCTGGACTAAATTTCAGGGTCTGTTTTTTCTGAAGTACAACTTTAGATAATTCTGTTAGGGATTATGGCTCAGTTTTCCAGCTGTCAAAAGAAAATAAAATACTGCCACTTCTACATTGATTTTGAAAGCACTTTGGGACAGATTTTCTTACTACGTGTCTGTTCAGTGCCTACAGTCATGAAGTTTTGCTCCTGACTGGGACTGTCAAGAGTCATCATAAAACACAAAATCTAAACTTTAGCATCTTGAAGCATTTATTTCTACAAAAAGGAAACCGCTGAAGTATTGGTCAGATTTGCAAGATTGATAGTTCCAGCTTTTCATTTTCCACAAACTAATACAAGCATAATTCTCTTATCACTGGTAGCTTAATTGCATTTCTTAACACTGTGAAGCACCTAAATAGTGTGTTTAAGTGTCATATAAAAATATGTACAAATACAAGTAGGATTTTGTAGTGATTGTAACTTCGCATTTTCATAGCATTATTTTGATAGATCAGCCTTACATAAAATGTGTTTTTCTCTAAATTTCAGGTCATCAAGAAAATAACAACTTTTGTTCAGTAAATATAAATATTGGTCCAGGTGACTGTGAATGGTTTGTTGTCCCTGAAAGCTATTGGGGTGTCATGAATGACTTCTGTGAAAAGTAAGCTGGGTGTGCTGTTTTTCTCTATTCTTATCAAGTTCTCTGTGCCTTTCTCAGACCTAAGTGGGGAAATTACTGAGGGTGTTGTAAGAGGACATTATTTTATAGGTTTTCCATGTAGTCAGAAAAGTCTTCTAAAAAAAAGTCAAAATGCAAAATCTAGAATCTATACATAATACGACATTTGTACAATGTACAGAAACTTGGATTGCCTGTGATAGGTAATTAACATTAGGTCCATTATTTGTTTTTTCTAACACAGGAATGAATGAAATGCAAGAAGTGAGACATTGGTAGTAGCAAATGCTTGTGTACATTCAAGATTCAGTTTTATACTACATTGAAGGGGATCAGACGTTTAGTATAAACATAGGCTGTCTGCTACCAATGTGCATTATGTGGCATCAATCCAGTTTTCATAGCAGTAACATTTCCACATCAGAAAATCCATCAGTCAGTCCTTGCTGTTTATCTAGGCACTCTATCGTGCATATTAAAGCTGACCTCTACTATTACCAAATGGTGTTGCTTTTGTAATGGCTTCTAGGGCTATTGGAACAAAGTTGCGGGTGAAGGAGTTGGGGTTTTGTTCTGGTTTTTTAGGAGTGGTGGAGTAAAGTATTTTCCTGGTGATGTATGCTGTTAATCTTTATTATGATTAATGTACACATTGCACACAGGCAAGTATGGAATCATTGGCATTTTGGCATGGTTTCTTGCTGCATCTAGAGGGAGAGCTTAGTTTACTCAGACAGACCCCAGGAGGAGTCATGGCATGCTTTGCATATGCTTAAATGTTTGTTGCTTGCTGGAAAAGTTGAGGTGCACTGACCAACCAACTCTAAGATTGGGGTTTCTGTGTTGTGCTTTGTGTTGAGTGGATGCTTTAAAAAGAAACAAACAAAACACACACACATGCACATACACTCTCCTCCTGGCCCCACCAAGAGAAAAAAAAAAAAAAGAGGAGGAGCAATTGTCCCCTAATTATGCTAGCATTCAAGTAGTAGCCTCTCAGTAGCCTGATCATATGGGAGAATTTTTTTTTTTTTATCTTGCCCAGCTAAGTCAAGTGCTTAGCCCAGTTTTTTCTTCAGAATTTTTCCAGAGCTCTGCAAGTTCATCTCGGGTCTCTCTGTACTCTGTATTTTCTGCCTATCTACTGCCAACTATTCTTATTTAATCTACCTTCACAAAGATTAGCCATCTCAAAATTGTAATTCCACTGATACAATTGCAATGTCTCTGATGATATGCCTTTTTACCGCCATGACACTGTCCTCCTGAGGGTGACAGGGAAACTAAGATCATGGTAACCTCATAAAATGTCTAGAGTGCCTGATAGAGGCATTGAATTATCTTTGAAAACTGAATTGTGAGTGATGTCTCATGGTGCAGTATAAAAAACAGTTTGAAGTTGGGATAAGGATGGGAAAGATGTATTTTGCATGACCACAGTGGAAGAGTTTGTGCTTAGGAAATCTATATGGAGGTGTTTTTTCATGCTTCTCAGGAAGGTCGATATTGCTTGACTGAATAGACCATGGATCGCGGTTGAAATGGTGCCAACAGGTTGCTTGTTGTGTGGACAACCTTCATGTGCATACACTGACAGTATGAGTACATGGTTGGCACTGTTCAAAACAGAAAGCGTTCTTATGGTCTGTATATAAAATCGGTCAGTGGTTAAAAAAGAAGCATTCAGCACCAGTGTGACGCTAGATCTGACCAAGGATTTTTCTGCCTCAGCATTAATAAAATACTGGGAAATTTAAAGGAAAATGGAACTTATCTGGAAGCCATAAACTGACTTCACACAGGCAGCCATATGGTTAAGTGTTCTAATATATTGTGGGATGTGAAATGTGGAATTAGGAACAGGAATTTTGTAGATGAAACTTTCCTTTTGACTAGTCCTCCTGGGTCACCGATCGGGTGCAGAAAGCATTTATTTTGTGCTGCTCAGTTCTTACAGGTAATTTCAATGAAGTATCAACCACTAATATGTCTGCTGATAAATGTTAAGACTTTATTTTTCCTATTGTTTCAGGAATAATATGAATTTCCTAATGGGATCTTGGTGGCCAAACTTGGAAGATTTGTATGAAGCCAATGTCCCAGTTTATAGGTTTATTCAAAGACCAGGGGATTTGGTGTGGATAAATGCTGGCACTGTTCACTGGGTTCAGGCTATCGGTTGGTGCAACAACATTGCGTGGAATGTTGGCCCTCTTACAGGTATGGTTGAATAGTGCCTCTGCTGAACTACGTAACTAGGTAAAATTATACTACATATGCCACAGAACCTTCCATTTCTTACCATTTTACCATGCTTTGCTAGATTAAAAAAATGAATGTACTGTGTTTTAAAACATGATGTGTTGAAGCTTTAAATAATTCTATTGGTAAGAGGAAGTGAAAGTAGCAAGAATGCAGTCTTTGCACTCATCCGTCTAATGGACTTGTAAAAATTACAGTTGTGTAGCAAACACTAGCAGAGTAAAAGGTTTAGATGAATTCATACTTTCTGTCTTGTAGGCCATTTCTTAACTTTTCCTCCCAAATTTTTTTTCTACCTAGCAGACTGCTATAGCTTGTGTATGAGTTGAGGACTTACCCAATCTAGCTTTTTCAGGACAACTGATACCTAATTGCTCTTCAGTGAAAGCATCAGGAAATGCGAACAGATACAAAATTTTTTTCATAAAGGAGTATTGGGTTTTTCAAACCTGCTATTCTAGAAGTTTGTACTTTTGAACCATGGTCTTGGAAGGTTTTTAGAAGTGAGAAGGGAAGGAAATTTCACAGCTAAAATGAGATTGTGTTAAGCATTTGAACAGAATGTACTTCCAAAAAAAATCCCATTTTCTTAAATAGTTTAAGGTGCGTCTTTATTTCATTATGATAGTATAACTCCAGGATTGTATGATTGACAGAGCTCACATGTTCAGTCACAGTAAATTTTGTAAAACATTTTTTTAAAAAAAAGTGCAAGGTGAGTAGGCTGCTTAATGAAAGTCTGATTCACTGTAACAAATCTCTCAAGGTGCGGTCTTCCTTTTCAAGACAAATTATATACCACAGCATTGTAAAATTATGATAAAGAATGAATAGAGTGAGATGCAGACATTTCAAATTTAGGTTTTATTTTATTTTTTTTTAAATCTGAATTATTTGAAAATTCGTTAAGGAACAAATTTTGAAATATTGCTCTCTCTTCACCACAGAAATCAAACACTTGTCAGTAACTTAATTTCACAGAAAGTTGTTGCTGCTGCGGTATTGATTGTTACTTTTTAAAAGAAATTTTACAGAATTCTAGTGTAGTTGGAATGAATGAGTTATTGTGAATGAAGTTTAATTTAACCCTAAAAAATATGAATTTTTATTATAACGAAATTATTTTGGCTCCAGTTGATCCTTATTTCTTAACTTGACTAATTGCTTCTGTAATTTTGTTTTTATATAGCCTGTCAATATAAATTGGCAGTGGAACGGTACGAGTGGAATAAATTGCAGAGCGTAAAGTCCATAGTACCCATGGTTCATCTTTCATGGAATATGGCTCGAAATATCAAGGTCTCAGATCCAAAGCTTTTCGAAATGATAAAGTAAGTTTTACTTACCTGAATGTTTACTGTACCCATTTCTTCTTCAAGCATAAAACAATAGTTGATTTGTAAGTAATCTTTTGTAAGACTTTTCCATTCCTGAGAAACAAGCCAAAATTATTTATTGTGTTTTTCAAAGAATCCATTTATAGATATCATTAATTTTATACGTTGTATTTGATGTTATTGTGGCATAGCTTTAGAATCATCAAATTAACTAAAATTAACTAAATGTTAAATATGCCATAGACTTAATACAGCGGTTTATAGAAAATGTTGACTCAGATGACAAAAGCTGTTCGAGTATGTACCATAAGAAATTACAAAATTAGGTCATCAACCCAAGTATTAAAATTAGAATTTTTAGTCATTTTTACAGCAAAGTTAAAACTTAATTTTACATTTCTAGAACTTCTAGTTAGTGCTCACATTTGGAGATCCAGTATAAATGTTTTTAAAAAAAGCAAGTAGGAATTTGAAAGCCTCCTTCCTTTTGCTCTTTCTTCTGAACAATGAAGTAATTGATGTGTAAAATGATAAATGAGTTCAGTGATGTTTCTTATACGCATATTTCAAAATGCAGAAATATTTCAAGCTCGGAGCATCTTCAGTAATTTTCTTTAGGGAGTTCATCTTCAAGCAAATATGAATCATATTGCAGCACCATTATACCTAGGTTGAGGAATTAGTGGACATTTCAGCATATATCATAGGTCTGTCCTAAAGAAAGTGGGGGAATGAATTCCAAAACAAATGACTCATCATAAGAATACTCTAGTAGCAGCACTCTCTTTTTTTTTTCTTAAGCCTACCAAAGAAGCTTCTAGCTTGAGCAGTTCTTTGTCTTTTCAACATACTGAATCCACAAGCATTGAATCCTTTTATAATTTGTCTTGAAGTGGACCTTTAAAAAAACAGCTGGGTTAACTTTCAAAAAAAGGGCAAAGAAAAATAATTTCTTTTTTCCCCCCTATTGAGATTTATTGATCTGAGTGAGACACCTTTTTATAGTAGGAATTTAATTTAGGCTTAAACATCTGTTTCAGAATGGTGGAATTGGTGAAATAGTAACTTCTAAGGACCAAGAATGCTGGAAATTGAAGACAGGGAGGGAGGTTGGTAGTCACTGTAAAGCTAGGTTTTGGAATAGCATTTATGTGTGAATACTTTCTTAAAATCTAGTAATTAATAGCTAGGGTAAAGAAAATCTCTGCTGAAGTCTTGACAGTCCTGCCCCTTCAGTTAAGCTACTGGTGCTCAGAGTCAAGCTGCCAGCTCTCATAAAAGGGAGAGGAGAAACTGAGTAGTTAGAAATGGGAAACAGGGAAAAGAAGCCAGCTGTGGGAGGGAGGAAACCAGAAAGTCCATTTAAAAAAAAATAACACACAAACTTAGTTCACAATTATCTTTATTTATCTTCCCAAGCCTAGCAGGCATCTATTGTGAAGCTTAAAACAGTTCTGGAATGTTTTAGACAAAGTATGATTTTGATATTTTGGCACCAGTATTTTGCACTTGCACAAGCTTTGGGGGTTTTGCCATGGTTTAGGCTTAAAAACCTGAGCATAGCATCCTTCTCCAAGAGAATCTCTTAAAATTTTGTGAACAAAAACGGAAGACAAAATGATTGTTTTGCTGGCTGACAGCAGCTGAGCTTTTTCTAGTGAGACATCTAAATTTTAGGTGTACATTACAAATAAAGATGCTGAAGAGCAGACACCAACTTTACATGCATTTGCTTTTTCCGGTCTACTGAAACCACTTCCAGTTTACTTGGATTGAGGCGTCCATCCAAGTTAGTTGTCAGCCAAATCCCAATGCTGTGTGTGCAAGGGGGAAGGAGATCCAACGATGAGCTCTGGTTTGTAACATCTAGTAGCAGTAACCTGAGATAACTCTTCATTGTGGTCGCTCCTATAGTTAAGGTATAGCTGTTACTGGAAATGGGTGTCACCAGACCAAACAGGCTAGTATGTGACCTTGAGCATACTGGAAACGCTGAAAGCCTTCATGAATCTCCTTAAGACAGGGAAGTAGTTGCATAATTTTCCTATGGACTGCTTGTCTGCAGGAATATAGCACCAGTTGACAAGTAGCTATTGTCCACTGCTCCTGGATTTTGTTATGTACAACATACGGACATGTGTGTGTTTATATATATACGTGTGTGTATGTGTATGCATGTATATAAAAACACTTGATAAATAGTCATTTCTGATACAGCTGGTTGAATTTCATCTTGAATAGCTAACTTCATTTGTCATCAGGAAAAAAAAAGGTATCACTGACACAGCTCTCATCTTTTTGCCAAAATGCAGGTCTGTATCTAAAATGGCACATCGAAGATACATGAAGTGTTTAGATTGTTCAACTTCTGTCTTTGGGGCTTTTTAGGTATCAGAATAGTATAAAAGAATAGCTCCTGGAAAATGATAAAAAGTAGTTTGTCATTCCAAACGGGAAGATAAATGCAAATATGTCTTAACTGGGTTAGGTGAGCGTAACCACTACATAGACAATAAACTAAAATATAAGTCTACATATAAATACTGGGAACCAGACTAATGATGAAAAGAAATGGAAAAACAGTAAGGAAAAATAATGGAAGGAAACCTTGCTTTTGGAAGAAATCTGAAGCCTCGTGTTTTTGGTTAATGTGCAAGTCGGTGCTGTCTTGCTAGATAAAAGACAAAGAGCAAAACCAGAAACTTTCTCATGAAATGCTTTTTAAAGATTTGATATTAACAGTAGAATCATGAGCAGGAACACAGGCAGACAGAATGATTTAAAACTTGACTGAGGGAGCGCAACCCTCAAGAAAAGAAAAATTAGCAGCAAACCTCTTAGATGGAAGCTAGAAGGACTTTTACAAATGCATCTGAGGAAGAGAAGAATTTCAGAAGTAGTAGGAACATAGTAATAAAGGCTTAAAAAATTAATTCCAAAGTAACTGAAATACTAAGTTCTTTTACAAAAATAGTTTTAGAAATGTAAAAGAACATGACATGGGAGAAATGATTTTGCACAAAATCATGAAGCCAGATAAAATACACTTCAGTTTCAGTAGGGAAGATATATTACTGAAAGATACAAAGAGGTCAGTTTTGCATTGACATTGGGATGGTCTCCACGCTTTCAGAAGTTTTACTGGATATCTGAATATTCAAACAGGTTTCACTGCCCTTCTAGAATAAATCAGGATTATGTCCATTTTGCAATCTTCTTCTCTTAAATATTTGAATTTGCCTGGACATGATTTACTCATACTCTTTCTGCCATACCTGTAAAGAATCTGAGAGAGTTATGGTCCAGATTTTCTTTTAACTGAATTCTCACTATATAAGAATAAAAGCAGGCCTACAAAAGCTGTTTAACTTACACATTGTCACTCTGCTAGACACCTTTTTGGCTTTCTTTAGGCTTCCTGTACTTCAGAAAATTGTGGTGCATTTTCAAAGTGATAGTTTGTATGCTTTCTCCTGTTCTTTGACAGCATGAAATAGTTAATGTTTACATTTTCAAGTGCCATTTCATGCCACTAGGATCTCAGTTTTATCCAAGGAGGGGGAATTCACCTTCTAATTACTGTTTTTTGCTTTGGTTGCAAATTTGGCAAACACTGCAGCAGTGTTTTATGCAAGTTACATTTGGGGCAATTCTTTCTTCACAACTGTAACACTAGAAAACTCTTTGAAAATAACACAAAAACTCTTCTGAAGTGAAGAGTGGAGAACAATCGTGGCAAGTGTGCAGATGTGCTTCCAGTTGCCCTTTAGCATATCCAAAGATTTTCCCAGTTAGTGGCAGTAGAGAAGAGAAGAACGGTAGCATTTAAGTTTATTTGAAATCAGGTTGTATTGCATAAAAGAATGCTATACCAAAGTTACTCAACTTGTCAGAAGAGCATCTACGTTAGCCTGACACTCAAGTGAATTAATACACGGTCTTACCATATATGGTTGGCCTTAGCATCGTAAGTCCCATTAACATCAAACTTCGAAAGTGTGGAAGGAGTTACAGCTAAATGAGTTGTTTAATTTTCTTGAAAATCAGTGTATGAAAATACGATGTTTAACCTGGAACCATGCTTTCAGTTTTGCATTATTCTTACAGTGAGGGTATTAATGAAGCCATAGGCTTGTTTTTAGTGAAGATGAACAGTCTGAGTGTAAAACATCAAGAAGAGAGTATCTCAAAGTAAGCCTAAGATTCTGTTAACTACTTGGAAACACATGAAAGAAACATTAAAAAAAACCAAAACACACCACAGAACGTATATATTGCATGTTTAAGGCTTTAAAATGGGAGAAGGATCAAGTTGAAAACATTTTGATAGAACCCTTGAGCACTTTGTTTTCTGTCCAATGTTTATTCTTCCCCTTACATTTTTTCAATCTTTCTTCTGCATCTAATGAGCATGTAATGTAACCACCCTGTGGAGGAGAAAATTAAAGGCTGCAAAGGCTGCAGCTCAAATAAATAGGATAGCTGAGAGCTAAAAATTATTGTAAATAACATTGTAATTTAGAAATCTGGCAACGTATTTTGCCAATTTTTTTTAAAGAATATATGTAGCTTATACAATGATAGAAAACAAGTTAGATTTTCTAGTACAGAAGAGAAATGTGTAGAACTGTGAAGATAATTTTCTTTGTTTTAATCCTTTACAGAAGTATGGCAGGGAATTACTGATTTTAATTTGACATTGGACCAGTTTTTTTCTTCATTCGTAAAATAAGTGTTAAATTTATTTTTTTCCAATGTTAGGCGTTTTTTTTTCCTATGAAGGGACTTTCTTTTCTAATACCAACCTGTCTCTTCTTTTTCCTTTTATGTGGAAGAAGATGCTTGTTCATAGATTTTATTTCCACTGCGTGCAGAGTGATTCATGTCAGAACTTGGGGTTCCAGACTTTGGATAACTGAAAGTTTAGTAGTGTTCAGGAAGTAACAGATTTTTTAGGATGTTAGTTGAAACAGTTCTTTGGATAGGCTGTAGTCATTTACACAAAATGTGAACAGCTATTTTGAACTTGGCAGTTCAACCTGTCTTTTTGCTGATAAATTCATAGTTCAAAATATAATACATGAATTGCTTTGGAAAACACATTGTTTTCTTGTGCTTAAAAGAGCATTCATGCATTCCAGTCAAAAATGAAAGATACAGCCTGTTTGCAGGGCAAGGGGCATTACTGAAATGGAACAAATCTACACAGAGGTCCATAAGCATGTGGTCAACCTTGCATAAGTCATGGGTCCAGTGATTCTTATTAGCCAGCTGTTTCTGAAATCCCAGGGGAAGAGGAAGCTCCAGGTACAGGGTCTTGGAAGAAATTTAAGCCTACTTGAATCTTGCTATAATGTTGAATATTGAGCTGAATATACACTTGATTTTGGTTGCAGGTACTGCCTGTTAAGAACTCTCAAACAGTGTCAGACACTGAGGGAAGCTCTAATTGCTGCAGGAAAAGAGATTGTCTGGCATGGGCGAGCAAAGGACGAGCCAGCTCATTACTGTAGCATTTGTGAGGTCAGTAAAAATACATGTTGAGCTTGTGTACTACTATAATATTTATTTAAATTTTGTCCTGTCTTTTGTTGTTGTTGCTATTTTAATTTTGCTTTTAAGTTGTAGCATCTACTGTATGCTATAAGCACATACATGTGATGCAGTACTGTCCTCAAGCTGTTTTTCTAGACATAGGCTGTATTTTGCTGTAGTCTCTTCCACAGTGCTTCCACAGCATTGTTATTCACTAGGTCGATTTTCAATTCTCAGTTATTATAAAAAATTGTTATCCCTTCCTGCATACAATTTGATCTGCTGAGCTTCATTTTAAAGGTGTATCTGTCTTCATTTCAGAAGTCAACAACAGCCCCAAAAGAGAGAGAAATTAAGTACATTTTCATCACAGGACATACCTTTTTGCTGAAATTTTTGATTCTACTTTCTGTTAACAGTTCCTTTAAAGTATTGGATAATAGTTTTCATGAAATTTCCTACCCTGTGAAAATCAGTTTCTAGTTATCTTCTGGCTGAGCCTTTTAGGCAGGATGAGCATATGACTGAGTAGTAAGGAAATAAATCCCAAACTTCTGTTGCAGACAAATTTAAGAAAGGAAAATCGGGTGTATTTGTTATAAACCCCCACCTTACTGAGTATCCCCTATTCCGAGTATGAATCCTGCTTTGTTAGTATTGACCAAAAGCTTTCCCATAGCGCTGTTCATGCAGACATCCTAAGTGTAATATTAGCAGTTTTACAATATTAGACTTCTCTGCCTGAGCCTCAGGAGAATAGATTTTCCCTGAACAAATCTAATCTTCCTCTTTGCATGCACAGGGTAAGGGTGTAAATCTTAAAGAAAATAGTTTTCATGGTTTAACTTTTAAAAAATTAAATTGTAACGGTTGACTTTCTGTTTCCTGTCTAATAGGTGGAAGTCTTTGATCTGCTTTTTGTCACTAGTGAGAGCAATTCTCGAAAGACCTATGTTGTACATTGCCAAGACTGTGCACGAAAGATAAGCACGAACCTGGAAAATTTTGTGGTGCTAGAACAGTACAAAATGGAGGACTTGATGCAAGTCTATGATCAATTTACATTAGTAAGTCAAATTAATAAGTGGGTACATAAATACATTATTTATAAAGCAGTTGTAGACTGTCTTGGTACTCCGTTGTATGAGTACCGTGGACTTTCTGATTCAAATGGAGGTATGGGTTGCCTGTGATATTTACAGAACAAAACGCTGAAGAGTCAGAATTATGTGAAATAGTACAGTAACTTACTGCAGAACATAACCACTGAGTTTTCAGGAAAAGTATGATGTTACAATTCATAAAGTTGTGGCTTTAAAAATCCAATAGAGATCACCTGAAGACCATAACTGGATCAGATGGAGATGGGAAGAATCAGGACAGTGAAGCTTGGAGAAACTAGCACCAGGTTCAAGAGCATCTCTAATACATTGGTTGTGGTATGAAGTCAGTATAGCAGCAGAAGCATCCTATGCACTCAGACCCCTTCCTTCCCCTTCCCCACCCATCCCCTCCCAAATCAGCACTGTCCTTCTGCTTAGCAAGTGGATGCTCTCAAACAGTTCTGTCTTTTGGCTTGGGGCCTCCTTTGCATTTCAATTTAAAGCAAAAAGCCTCTTTGCCATTATAGCTTTGTGCTATATATGGCAGTCTCCTGCTTTGAACTGTGTCAGCACAACTGTCCTAACATTTCACCCAGGTTTCATTGTTTCAGGCAAAGATGGTTTGTTTGTAATCACAATTAAAGCAATGCTGGATTTATTTATAAGCCTTGCCTTTCTGTCAGAGGAGACAAACATTGGAGAAAGCGTTACGAGAATTTCACGTTGAATTAAATACAACAGCCCCGAGCGGCTGTGCGTTTTGATTCATATCCAGGTGCTGCAGAAAATGTATGTTTAGACAATTCCTTCATGTAATGCTAGCATGATAAGTTGTGACCTTTTGAGCTAAGGCCTCAAGGTTCAGCATTGCAGTTGAGGCTGTCGAGAGTTGCAGGACCATATCCTCTGAATTTAATTCTCTTCATTGGTCCTGCAGAGCCTGAGGTGGTTGAACTTCAATTCATACTTCTAGGAGCCCATTGTCGTTATAGTTTGTGAAATGCCGCAATTTCGAAGTGATGATCTGTTATAGAAAAGCACATAAATAAACACCTGTTCTCAGATACGTCATCCAGTTGAGTGAAAATGGGCAAGAACCTTTCTGTATGGACAAGAGGGGGGAGGGAGGGATATGTTGTTGTCTGTGTTTATAACATTATGTAGGTAACAGTGATGATATTGTCCCTAGAACAAGGGTTCTCAACCTGTGAGTAGCTCCCTCCCCCACGAAAGCCTGTATCTGCAGCCCTAAAGGGCATTAATAATTGTTCTCTCATGAAATTAGCATGCACATTCATTTCTTTTAGAGGGGATACAATCTCAGTTGAGAAGAGTCATAGCCTAGAAGTGACATCTCAGATCTAGAAGAGTCACAGGTTTGTTGCATGTCACAGGACAAAGATAATCTCAGATGGCAAAGGTGCAACAGGCCTAACAGAGAGGCTCTGCTTTTGGGTTAAAGTATTGGGCGCAAACATGGGGATCAGCTAGTGTTAGTGTTGCATAGGTGGGTACTGTGAGTATGATCTAAAATGTCTTTAAAGACTGTGAGCGGTTTCTTGAAGGTATTTCACATCATGACAGAACCGATAAGAAGGAAAAGCCATCATCGATTCAGTATTTTGATGGTAAATGCCACAAAGTGCAATACCGGGCAATAGGTATCTTCTAGACCTTGTCTCCTGAAAGCAGGCAGGAACAAGACACCTAGCTTACTTCACTCTTGAGGTACTCCGGTGCTGTCTTTCAGGATTTAAAAAAAAAAAACGAAACCAAAAAACCCACCATAAAAACCCAACTTTGTCCACATGTCAGAGAATCTGAGACCCTTTCCACAGATATCCTAACTTCAGTGTTACATCTTATTGTGTAGGTGGAGGGGAAAAAAAAAAAAGGAAGCCCGCGAGGCATTTGGAGAGCCACAAATGGACAGTCCCCCCCATTGGTAAACAGGTTGAGAATCCCTGTTTTAGAGTATATAAAGATATATCTATACTGAGCCCCCATGGAGCTCTTGGCTGCCACAGTGGGACTTGTTTTGGCAGCTCACATCAAACACAGACATCCCCACAGTGTACTCCGGTCTGCAGTATAGGCAAAATCCTAATGCAGAGTAGTTGTAAAATACACGTTGTATTTGAGTAAGTTGGAAAAAAATGCCAGTATTGGCCTGAAAGAGTCCTGAAGTGTGAAAACAGTAGTGCGTGTGACTTCAAACTCTCACGGTTACAATTTGTGCAGGTCTTGGTTAAACAGCTGTGTTTTACACCCTTGTAGAAAAGGTAATTTAATGTTTTCTTTTTCAGGCTCCTCCATTGCCATCCTCCTCATCTTGACATTTTTTCATGGACATTAAATGAAAACTTTTCTGATATTCAGGAAGTGACCCAGTTCTGCACCACTGATTTTTGTAGCTATCCCGTAAGGCTGCTGGCTGAAAGCTGTGTCTATGCAACCTTCCAAGTGCGGAGTGTCAACCAACTGGACAGGAGAGAGCACTGCCTCCTACTCCAGAACTCAAAACAAATAAAGCTCATCCAGCTGTACTTCAAAAAAATAATTCCATGTTTTGTATATATCTGACAAAACTGGCAACATTATACAGACTACTGACTTGAAGACCACCTCTTTTGTATTTCTCTGTTTCTGGGCTGATGAGTTGGTTTCATCCATTTTTCCCCTTCTGAATTTCCCTTGGAAAAAGTACTAGCTTAGCTGGTCATTTCTTTGTAAGGTAGTTAGAAATTTTAAGTCTTTCTTTGGGCAACTTTTTTTTTTTTTTTTAATGTGAAGAGTTAGGTGATATAAATTTTTTTACTGCTTTTATGTTTTTCTGTCTTGTTTTGAAACCATGACGGTTACACTTTTGGTTCCTAAATAAAATTTAAAACAATTAACAGCCAAGTCACAAAGATAAATGGGTTGCACATAGACTAAGGAATAAACTTCAGATTTGTGATTTTTGTTTCTAATCTTGATGTAAATTTACACTATTTATAAATACATATTTATTGCTTGAAAATATTTGTGAATGGAATGCTGTTATTTTTTCCAGATTACCTGCCATTGAAATTTTAAGGAGTTCTGTAATTTCAAACACTACTCCTATTACATTTTCTATATGTAAATAAAACTGCTTAGCATTGTACAGAAACTTTTATTAAAATTGTTTAATGTTTAAAGTTTTTCTATTGTTTGAGTTTTAAAAAGATTTTATGTACAGTGCCCAGTTTTTGTTCTTTTTTGAATCTGATTATATATATTTTATATATACTCTTGTGCTTGTGTATATATATAATATATATAGAAACTCGAATATAAATATGTGTATAAAGATTTAGAGACTAAATTTTTCTCGTTTTAAGTTTTACATCTATGGTAGATTTGAGGTGTCTACTGTAAAGTATTGCTTACAAAAGTATGATTATTTTTAAAGAAATATATGGTATGTATCCTCAAGACATAAAATGACCTTCAGACTGGTTTATTGTTAAATTGCACTTTTTGCAATAACAGACCAATAAATAGTTGCTGCCAAAATGTAGTAGTAGAAAATAAGTAACGGCTAAACTTGGAAGCTCGTCAAGAAAATACCAGCTTTGAGAGGAAGTTTGGCACTGGTTCGAGAGGAGGAATGAAAAAGGTGGATTTGAGTTTGGGTGGGGATGTTCTCTAGAATTCAACCAAATTGCAACTTCTGTATGACAATATGTTCTATTAACAATTTTAAAAGTTAAGACTGAATCGTCTTGGCGTCATTGTTGACCCCAGAAAAGGACGTTGTTTTGTGGTATTCTATTGTATTTTCACATATTTTGTAATACGAATTCACTGGTAAATTTTTGAAGCACTAGGTTTATTTAGGGCAAGTTTATAATATATCATTGTAACAGTTTGCAGTTTTAATGATGGTATTTAAGTTGCTCCTTTCTCATTAGCTTCTTGAAAACGCATTAAATCTAAATTTCAAAATTGATAGCTTTCTTACCGATCAGAGTTGACTGATGCAGAAGGTTCTGCATCACACAATTTCTCATAATTTCTCATTAGTGGGGTATGTTAGTGATTGCATTGTTAAATTTTTTGTAATCAGTGTGAAGTGTTAAAGGCACAGAGCATGCTAATAGTTTATTTTGAACAAAAAGAATCGCCTCTTACATTTGTAGCTTCAAACGAAGGGTGTTTTAATGAAGAATCAGTACAGCTTGTCTAATGCTGTTACAACAGTTTAACCATAGTTACAAATGACTTCCTTGCTAGTTCTTACAACAGCTGGACAAGAGGGTATAGAGATTAAAGACAAGTGTAACAAACGCTCTTGCCAGCAAAACGATCGGCTAGCGGTTAGGAAGCCAGCGTTTGCAGTTCTGTAAAGATGTAAGCCTCGGCTCTTGATAACAAACTCTACAAATCATAATTTTTTTACTTCTGTATTTTACGCAGTCATAAATATTGTAATCTTGACAAACCATGCTGCAACTGAAAAGCTACTCCTTTACAGTAGTCTTAAACCCAAATAAAAGCAAGATAACTTACCTCAACTAATGGTAAACAAAAAGTCCTCGTTTCTCAGTGCTGTAAAAGAATATTGCTAACTAGGGAAGGAGCTCATCAGAAGGGCCTTGTACCTTTCCTCCCCTTTGGAAAAGAGGATGTGCCATTACACAAGGAAGAAAATCTGTATTTCACCAGTGAGCGAGTAAGCCAAATCCGCAGAGCATCGGGCAGCGTTGCTCGCTCTGCTTGCAGGTTCTGTCGTAGAGTTGAATTGCTGCAGGGCTTTAATATTTTGCAGTTTGCATACTTCGGAATTAGCCTGTGCTCCTAATGGACGGACAGTTTTGATCTGTACACTGCTAGGATTTAGAATGCATTTGTTCCATTCCATTAAAAAAGCACAAGTTAGTATTTTACCAATTGTAGTCATTACGAAGCGCATGGTGCAAGTGAAACATCCGTAATCTGTGGATGTTTCCAAGCATTAGCAGTGGGGCAGGGCGGGGGGAGGCGGGAGGCCTGAGCAGAATGGGGGGGACAGTAGCTGGCTTCCCAGGGAACCTCGGCCTCGCCACAGCTGAGCCACGCTGCAAGTTTGGCTTGGGGCTACAAACTGCTGTAGCAGGCAAACTAAAGATCAAGGTGTAAAAGGATGAAAGTGGCCAAAGACGTGGCATTTATTGCAAGTGGTTTTGAGCGGTACAGACTAATGGAAAAAAGGCGTCGTTAGGGGTTGGGTAAAACTAGAGGCACAAACGGTTGTTTAAAAAAAATAGTAAAAAGCTGAATTAAAGATAGAATTAGAAATAAAAAGCAACATTTGCTACTGAACTGGGGATCTAAGAACTGTCCTGGAGGAGTGCGACAACAAAGGGATCGCATAAATGGGGAGAAGGAATGGGTGGCACGTTTCTGAGCTTAATTTAAGTTCTTCTGTAAACATATTCAACAGAGCATTTGACTTCTAAGCTTTCCTTCAGGTCCTTAACTTGGGAGCGGTATCTCTGCTTTTTTGGGGAAGTGAGGTCCCACCGGTGGTTACATTTTAGAATTAGTGATGTCGGTAGCTATGTGAGAAGTATTTAGAGAAAGGTCACTAGAAAGTGTCTAGTGACAGAAAAATTTCCGAAACTTCTTGATGTGTATGGCGGATACTTTGTCTTTAGGATGAACAAGTTATCCCGGATCTGCACCTTTCTAGTTGGAAGAAGGGCTTTCAAAGTAGTATTAAAATGATGTCGCTTTGCTTAAACGGGCACAGCTTGGCTCAGTTGGGCATAGTGTAGCAGATTCTTGGAACGAAGGTGGGCAAGGACTGGGGGCTCCACAGTTGGTGACATCCTGGCCGCAAATACATTTATTGGTGAGGCTATGGAAGATGCCAGGGTTCGACTGAGATGACGGGGAAGAGTGTGCTCATCCTTGGTTGCTGCCCTCATCTGGGAAGGGGCTGAAGCAAAACTTTTGGTTGGTGTAGAGGGGGAGGAAGGGGGCTTTTAAGCTTGAGCTTCCTGAGGTCAGAGCCGATCTGTCTGGATCCATAGCAGAGAGCCATGGCCCGGTGATTGAGTGGCTGAGGTGGGGCCAAAAGATCAGAGTGGTAGGGAAGCTCCATCTTCCATGGCTGCTTCCATTGGGAAGCAGGCAGAGGAAGCACTCCCATCAGGAGATCAGGGATACAGCACGGGGAAGAGGATGATGAGGGTGGCGATTTACCTCTGGGGCAGGTCGGAGCCAACCACTGCTGCACGCTTCCATTGCGGTGGCGCTGACGGCTGAGGAAGGGGGGATGCAGGTGGTGCCCAGGCAAGTTCAAAGCTGAAGCTCAAGTCCAAGCAAGCCGAGTGTGGGGCTGCTACCTGCAGGGCCTCACGGAGGAAGGCAGGGGATGGTGGGGAGGAGGCAGGGATGTGGGCATGGGGCCCAGCAGGCCCCGGGGCAGCCTCCTTCCAGGAAAAGAACAGCATTGCTCCAGAAAGGGGGCAGAGCAGGACACATTGGGTAATGGGGGAAAAAGGTTGGGTGGGAGGAGGAGACGATAGATTTCCCTCCTTGGTGCCAGCTAAAGAAAATAGCAGGTGGAGAAGGAGAGCAGCCTCCACGCTGCACCCAGGGCTGAGCCCAACCTGCAGGAGATTATGTGGGGTGGGGTGGGACGCAGCATAGCCCCGTGTCTGGGCCGGGGATGCAGGGACAAGCCCTGAGCCCCCCAGGAGCTGTCACCCTGGGTCTGGGGTGGAGCCCATGGGCTGGAAGAACTTGGGTGGATTTTTAGCAGCCTTGCCCTGGAGGTGTGGTGCTCAGCCCCCTCCAGGCAGGCTGAGTGCTCCCCCCCCCAGCTTGCAGCAGCCGGGCTGCAGTAAGGGCAGAGGGAGGGATTGTTAAGAGGCGAGCACCCATTAACAGATTGAAAAGGTGAGATACTGGTGAGGTGCCTGCATCCTTACTCCAGGAAGACATAATAAACGTACTGGAGGGATGGAAGAAGGGAAAAGGCAGCTTGTGGTGACAGCAGCAGGGCAGGCTCAGCTTCCCGCTTCACCACTTGGGACGTGGGGGGTTTTGGGGGAGGAAGGGGGGGTGGTTTTGAGGGTAGGAGCACAGGGCAGGGTGTCCAGCACAATGCGAGAAGAGCTTCTGCTGTGGTTTGGTTCCACTAGTCCAAGGCCGCCTCGAAGCACAAATGTCTTCATGGCCGAAGCCCTGGAAACATATTCCAGGGGCTCGGGAGCTCCTGGCAGGCTCAGGGCAGACTTACAACTCTGTATTTATGTGCAGGGCCTTGTCTTGCTCACGAGACGCC